CGCCGGAATTCGAGCGTGCATAATTCAAAACGTTAGCGGATCCAATCACAGTTTATTCCCGAGAAATAACTTATTATTTCCTATCGTCCGTCAACAACAAGAGAGAGAAAGAAAGAACCTGTAGTATGGTTATATTTAGGCTCTGATTTACATTAATTTACGTTCGTTCTTTGTTGGTTTTCCATGTTTTTTCGCATTTTCGTTTCTTACGTTCTCCCCATCAACGATTCCAGCATATTCATGCGCTCAACACTTAGTTGATTCGGTTTGATCAACGGCACACACACGCGCGCCATAATCACCACCGCGCGTCGGCGTTAATAAGTCACCTCCGTTCAACTCGTCAAGCACACAGCGCGACATAACGTTCGAGGGTCGACGCGAGGTGTGAGAGCATTGTCTTCCGATAACTCGCGATTCTGTCCACCAGGGAAGGACGACAATCGCCATACTTTACGTCTGGATACGTATTCAAATGAGCACGTGGGTGGCGGAGAGAAAAGACGCAGGTAGACCCGCGGAAGAATATACGGCGCTTTGCGTTTCGCGCAGGTCGATGCGAGAAACCTTCCCATAACTATTCCGGCCGTTCAGGGCCCGTGCACTTCTTTCCGGCATGCCCCCTGAGCGCAGCATCCGGAGGACTTATATTCGTCGGCGAATTTTTTCGGTCGCGTGGGTGATCCGTAAGTGTTCCCGTTTCGCAAGACGCGTCGTTGCGGTTGCAATGTGACGCGTCGCCCCCGCGATTTTCTCCGACGACGACGACGACGACGACGACGACGAGGAGGACGGGAGGAACAGCGAGATCTCTATGGGGAAACATTATAGCGCTGATTTTCGCGTAGGTTGACACCGACTCGTGGACCGGTGACACGTGGCGCCAACGTGGCGGCGACGGTTTGACGTTACGCCGATGTCACGGCACTCGTATTACCCCGCATTGCACTGCATTTCTGCGGAAATGCTGGAGTCCAGTTTATCAAGCGTTGCGCAAGGTTGCGTCACGAAATCAATCTGACGCGCGATACGTCACCGGCCGCGCGACGCCAAGGAGGCCTCACGTTACGGGATATATCCGCGGATACATCGTAAAACGATCGTCGTGACTCAAATGACGGCAATCAGTAGTCCCAATGGTCATAGCCATACACGCGAAGTTTAATAGCATCGCTCATTTCAGGGTTGTAAACCGGTTTTACTTGCGAATCGCATGTTTCCCGATACCTCGTGACGCCACAATGACGCTCGCACATTTAATTGCATTTGCACTCATGTTCTTTTCTACTCTCTATGTAAAAATTATAGTATCTGATTCTCATAGATAAAATCTGTATATATTTTAAAATAGATAAACTAAAATTAAAGACATTCTCAACGTCAACTATATCTTTTTGTAGTTTTAACTAAAAATAATAGTAGCAATATGCATACAAAATTATTATTATAATAATAATACTATAGTAACAGTTATTGTAGAAATAGTTGTGCTGATTATAATTATTTCACTATGCGATTATATTATTATTATTATCATTAGCGAGACAGCCTATTGTGTGCCAGTGCCTGTTCTAGTTTTCATCTCTAGGCTGTCCTGTTCATAGACTCTCCAGACACCGATGATAGTAGTCAATTTTGGTCTTCCCGTCATCTGGCTCATTCATCCTTGTAGGATTTGTTTTGGTAATTTTCAAGTGCTCTCTTTGTATATGCCTTCCCTATCTCAACCGTTGAACTTTTATGTAGATAATGATGTCATGACCGCATAATTGGTACAGTTCTCTGTTATATCTTCTAGGCTATATATCGTTGGTTTTAATTACTCTAAAAATCTTATTTTTTCTTTAGAAGATACATAGTTTCCATCATTTCTGTTCAGCGCCCATATCTCGTAGGTGTATGTTATTTTTGATACTTCTTATAATTTCTTACAAAATAATTATAACGTTCTTATAATTAACTGTCTCCTCTAGGACTAGATTAAATAAAAGACATATAGTTTACGATTACGGTTACGAATACTAAACACTTTTTACTCAATGAGTCATGCGCGTATCTTTCTTGGCGACATAATTAGGAATAAATCAATCGCAATGAAAACAATGAAAATAAGCACTTGGTTATTAACTGCACTATGCGGACGAATCATTTTCAACATTCGCTCGACTTACCGCACCGTGTCAACGAAAAATACGGCGTTTCCACAGCGACAAAAGATCTAGGAAGAAATAAAGTTGAGCACAACGGTATAAATAGCGAGCACAAGGTACCGTTGCGACCGCACCGGGTTGAGGGTCGGGGTGATGCGATCGTGATCGATGTAGATCGTTCTTTCGATCTATCTGCGGCAATCCGTGCTCGGGCAAGCCGGTGTGTCCCTAGCAGTCGGCCGGGCAATCTACATATACCGATAAACTACGTGCTTTTACGTACACAGATAGCGGGAAACCTTCGTGCACATCCACGAATAAGTTATACATACATATATAAATACATAAAACGCGCGCGAGCGCGTTTGTTCAACGAGGGATCTGTTTCCGGGTCACGCTACGGCAGGTTGACGCCGAAGATATCGGCGCTATTGTCCTGGCGGTGCTCGGTATCTCGATCCTCTCGCATCGATTAGCATTGATTTGTGGATCATCGTGATTGGCCGGCGGGACCTAGCGACCGACGCCGATTTACTCGGATATGTACGTAGATAGTGGCGAGGGCGATCCTCCGTTCCGCGGACGATCGCGCGCAATCAGCTGGTCGCTCGTCCGTGGTCGATCGAGATCGCGCGGTCTCACCGTAGACCTCACGCATAGGATCCATCGTGCTCTGATATTTCAACAGCCGACCATGCAGCCGGACTATTCCGCAACGGAACATTTAAGGCTCGCTTGCGCAATGCACAGCGAGGGTGTCCGCAGCGGCGTCGACGACCAAGAGAGAAAAGGGAACAATGGGTGTCTCTGGCGAAACTGATAAGTTCCGCAGATTTGAATCCGTATGCTCCTTTCGCTGTTCTCGGACGTAGTTTTAATTGCATCGCAACGATCTCCCGCGAACCAAGAAAGACACCTGCGACTAACGAGAGCCGCAGCTGATATCCGAGTCTTCCAGATTACGTAAGGACTTATGCCTAACTGAGTGTGGGACTGTTCTCGAGCCGGCGAATGTGGCGACCCTTAGATTCAAATCGTACCTCTCTCTGGCGAGCAAAATCGTATAAACACAGAAGATAGGATCTCTGCCTCAGCCACGCCTCGAGAGGAGGATCGAACTGTCTCTTCCGTGTACGTCGAAATTGTTTTTGACGTATCCCGTAGAGATTAGCATAAGGTGCGTTTCGTGGGCTTATCGAGCCTGCTTTCGCTTTACGTAGGAAGCGTAAGAATTTGGCGGATAATAGAGGTTATCACTTGAAATTAAAATTAAATAACAGTTCTTGTATGGCAGATAGAAATCTTATAAAACTCTCATTATATACTCGTAACTGATTATAGAGATATCGTGAAATCTATATACTATATGAAAGTTCGTGATGTAAAACTACGTAAAATTTTCACAATAGAAAAATACAATAAACAAGTATAATTAAGAAGATGATGTTTTAAAAAACTTTACATAAATAATACATTAATACATAATACATTTTAAGATCTTCATAATTATCACTTTTAACATATTTTATTTTTATAAACATTCTATTTTTATAGACATTAATTCATATTACATAATACGAAAAAAATTAGTATTAGTTGCAAGGACACTAAATTTCGCATTTGCGTCGAAGGTATGATTTTAGAAAGATCATGTGCGTAAAGATTATGATGCACTAACAGCTATATAAAATTTTTTTTCGAAATTTTGAAACTTCCTTAGATCTCTCTATTTATACCTAATTTCGCATCTTCTTATAAATTGAAAAGTTATAAGCAAATCAACTTTCGATATCTTAATTGTGTGATATTACAATTAGTTATATTCTTTTACAAATATTTATGTTATCAATTTTTATTCATTCTTATTAATTATAGATAATACAGAAATAGGAAATAATTGTCGATAATATATCGACGCAATATGTCGATAGAAACTAATATATCGACAAAAGATAACAGTTACTTCATTTTTTCTGCTTTATCGTTACTCTGTGGGTAACTCTATTTTCTATATGAACACTGTAATGCATGGAAACCAATAGATGGACCTGAATCAACCAAGACTACTTTCTCACGTGCCACACACAACACAAAGCCAGCAAAGCGTTACGGTTCGAAGATTCAAACTACGATCTCCAGACGGTGGAGATTGCTTGACTCGGATAGTAAGCTTAAAGAGTGTTGGAAGGTACGTTGTCTCGGCGGTTCGTTCCAGTGCAACTGTTACGATTCTCAAGAAAAAGTCACTTGGTGCATTTGTGCTCATAGATAAAATATCCTTGACAGTGACAGTGTGTACAGCCATGTTGCCAACATGACGCTACACAGCTGACGGCATGAGAAATAGCCAGATGCAAAAATTGTTCCTTTTGCTGTCTATGGAAGATGAGTGGACTTTATTGTTTTCATTAAAGACCTATGATTAAAGTCAGTGCTTTAAATATGTTTGTGACTCTGCTACAACGATAACATTCTCGCGTGCTCCATTCTCAGACGGTGCTGCATTATCGATCAGACCAACACACCGCAAAAACGCCGGTATATTATTTAAAGAAAATAAGAAACACCAAAGCTTCGCTTCTTTGTGGGTTTTCTCAAGGCAAGCCAGTGCAATTTCTATGATGTAAGCTGACTCATATCTTACACATCTTCAGCACCACCTCTCACTCCTTCTCCGTGAGTGACTTCCACGTGTACGTGTGGGTGCGCGGATACATGTAGTTGTGACGGAATACAGTTGGTGAGGTCATACACCTACCTTCGCAAGTGGTTCGATTTTCATTCACATTGTGCGGCTCATAGTTGAAGACGAATACTTCGAAATATTCGTTTCGGTATTTTTATCACACAATGATCATGAGGACGTTGTTCGCGGTTCATCCTGTATCATTGATGTTTGTATTCACGGTCACTGCCATTGGCGGCAATTACATGGACATTAATCTACCCCATGATCACGTCAAGTATTATTTCAATTCTTTTCCCACGACAGCAGAAAATTGCCGCAACGATACGACATGTCCTTATAAGGTAAGATTCGTATTTCATTTTATTCTCTGAATGTATACTTTCACTTTTTTATGACATTGGAAACATATAGAAATTTCATTGATAAATTTGGAGAGCAACTTTTTTAGATAATTAAGTTAAAAACAAGTTTACGTTTATATATATGTAGGATTTTTATAGTTTCTTTCTATTTTTTTTTATTTATTATTTTCTTATTCTCTCAAGATTTAATTACTAGATTCTTTATTTTTTTTTTAATTTAATGTTAATTTTAATTTAGTCTTCTATTATATATATATATATATATATATATATATATATATATATATATATATATATATTATATAGCTCTCTCAAGTAAATTCATATTTTCTTGCAGATATGTTTTTTTTTATTATCATATATCAAGTTTTTATTACATGCAACAAAATGAATTATTAATATATCGCAGTTTGCGATTAAACTCGTGCCGATCCCCACGTTGCATTTCTAGATTCCGCTTCTTTACATTTTCTTGTTTATTCGAATTCAAATTCTTTCTCTTGTCATTTGTAAATTCTGCATTATTTTTTCTTTAAAAAATATATTGTACAATGTTCCGCTGCAAAGTGACGATTAATTGATTGAATAATTTGAATTTCCGCAACAATATTCCATACAAATTAAATTATACTGCACCTTTCGCGTTATATATACATCTATTTATATATTCTATTTTTTTAAACATTTTATATGTAATTTTTTCGCGTACTCTTTTTGCTGAATATTTCACAAATATATTTATTTATAGATACAAATAGTATTATATATTATCTTTCAGAAGATTGTCCCTCTAGAGAAAATAGATATATGTCAATATCTAATATTGTAATATGAAATGTATTTCTAAAATATAATGAATAAATGCACATAAATAAATTTTTCATTCATTTATTCATCCATTTATTTATTTATTTTTTCATAAATTTCAGGATATTGTCGGTACAAAAGCTTGTTGGGGCTACGAGCAAGACTGTAAAGCGGAAAATTCTTTTTCCGTCCCACACTGTCCAGGAGATCATAAAGGATGGGTCAATACAAAAAAAGCTCAATTGGATACGTATTACGCGCAAGGCGACTTTGGATATGTGCGCGAACAAAGAAAAGAGTTGATGTTATTATGCGAGCCATTATTTGTGGTGAGGTCACTACATCATAATAGGAGTCCGACATCGTGTGAAGTAAAAATAAAGATGGAATAGCTAATCGAATTTCGCGTCTTATTATGTGCTTTTTTTTATCGTCTGTTGATGCAAATACTAAATCATACTATGACTGCTACAATTACACACTTATATTTCGTGCGCAAATCGTGATCTATCTTGCTTAATCGCATTTTATTTTTTAGGAAGATTCATCGTTGGAGTGTTCAGAGCACATGAGGTTCTGTAGGGCGAGAAATGTGATGCTAAATTTCACGGATTTGTTAAATCGGAAAGAACCAATACGATATAAAATGGATGTTTTAAAAGAAGGCCAAATAGGTGGCTACTGCACGTAAGTCGAATATCAGCGAGCAAAGCAGATCACCTTCGCGAGAAATTCGAAAGTATCTAACTCTCTCCTCCGCGATCAGGCTGAACGAAAGGAGACTGCAAGAAAATGCGGATCACATAAGCCCGCTGCAATCTTGGGGACCTGAATTGCGAAATTTCCGTAAACTATCCCGTCGGCCGATTGTTCATGGCGATTGCAACGTGGTTATTGAAAAACCGACTTTCATCATGAAAATAGACGCTAGTGAGTTCGAAAAGTTCTCCCGAATAAATCGCTCACGTTAGTCATCTTGTTAAAATCGCGCTTGATTTTTAGTAGTGAATATGTACCATCACTTTTGCGACTTCTTCAACTTATATGCATCATTGCACGTGAATCTCTCGCACCCATCTGCCTTCAACACTGACAATCATATAATGATCTGGGAAAGTTATAGGTAACTGGCACGAACGTAAAATGAAGGCCACGAACTGTTAGATGTCGAGCCATAATTATGCTTTCAGTTATCGGTCGGCGTTTCAAGACACCTTCGATGTGTTCACGAAAAATCCACTGTGGGACTTGACAACGTTCCGAGGCAAGACTGTGTGCTTCAGGAATCTAGTGTTTCCCTTGTTGCCGCGAATGATATTCGGCCTTTACTATAACACACCACTAGTACTGCCCAATTGTATATTCTTTCACTGAGATATTCAAAGGAACATCATTAATTCAAAGAGTACGTTTTTTTTTAGATTTATGGCTGTGAAAATTCCGGATTGTTCAAAGCCTTTGGCGATCATGTGCTATACCGACTTCGAATACCTCTTCACGAAAGGAAGGATCGAAAGATCCACGTTACATTGTTAAGTAGAGACACTCGCTACAGAAAGATCTTGAACGAAGATGAGTTGGTGAAAGCTTTGCGGAAAAATTCGGAATACACCGTTAAAAAGGTAAAACTTCCACTACACAGAATAGTTTATAATAATCTATAGTATACTACATTATAACTTATGATTAATTTGTTTTTACAGGTAGTGTATAATAAAAATATGCCATTTAAGAAGCAGCTGGAAATCACGAGGAATTCAGACATTTACATTGGCATACACGGTGCTGGATTGACGCATTTGATGTTCCTACCAGATTGGGCGGCTGTATTCGAAATGTGAGCAGCTTAAAAAATACGATTAATCATTTTCCAAAATGTTAATTCACTTTAAAAAAGATGCTTGATTCTAAATTCCGATTATTTTCCTCAGATACAATTGCGAAGATCCTAACTGCTACAAAGATCTTGCACGTCTGAGAGGTGTGAAATATTTCACATGGGAAAATACAACGAAATTAGTGCAACAGGATCCGGTACGTTCATATTACGACCTTTTGCTAAAGTGATATATTGAGTGTATACAATATTTGTCACAATTATACATCTTAATACTCGGATTCCTCGATTCCTACCGGTTGGGACCGAAAACTTGATGACAAACATAATCTTAAGTTGGCGGTTGAAGGAAACTACATCAAGTTTGTTGACTAAAATTTGCATAACGATCGGAAATATTTTGAATGAATTTAGTTGCGTACTAAGCTGCGTTTTCTTAGCGATCTTTCTGCAGTATTTCTTCTGACATGATAGAATGCGTTTAATCCGGGACCATGTTAATACCCTGAGAGTACTATTATATCGCATTAATGAGCATATCCATTATTATCATAATAATAATCATCGTTATTATGATTACGATTATCATTATTATCATTATCATACTTAATTTACAGGGCACACATCCTGATGGTGGAGCTCATGCGAAATTTACAAACTATAGCTTCGACGTGAAAGAATTCCTGAGAATCGTATCACTTGCGAGAAATCACGTAAAGTATCATAATGCGTTCAAGAAGTTCCTCAACAACGATTATCATGCTGGAGTGCATAATGACACCAAGCCGACAAATAATAAAAAGCCAACGAGTACTCCTAAAGCCGAAGAAGTAATTCGATTACGACAGAAGTCGGATATATTATCCAAAGATGAGTTATGAACAAGATTTAGGTACTAAATAAAAACAATTGTGCGTATGGTAATAGTACGAGGGATGGTGTGATCTGAACACGCACTAAATTTTAAATTTGTTACCGAGAAAATTCTCTTTACTTATTTTTATACGAGAGAAAGTGTACATACTTATTTTAATAAATAATAATAGTGAATGCTTAATAAATTTTGATATGTATGAGTTGCATTTGGCAGTAATTTCTCTTAATTCTTACATATTTTAGTACAAATTCCTCTTGTGTACTACTTAGTTGCATACACACGACACACATATCTATTTAGCAATATGGAGTGTAATACGTATATGGAACACTGAGTTCTTTTTTGCTTATACATTACATGGCATATCTTCGTTTATGTAATATTACGCTCATGGAAGAATACTGAATCTCCAGTACGATCAAGAAATCAACCGGAAATTATAAATCCATAAAAAACGGGAATATTATCTTCATATATATACATTTTATAATTTAAATGATATTTGTGACCTATAAAGTATCAATATTGAAAATACATTCACAGCCATGTATACAATTAATATTGATAGAGCTGTTGGTTCTTTCGCATACAATGTATACACCGACATGTTAACAAGTCCAGTCAAGAGGTTGCTGAGAAGAAAGAAAAATAGGCCGTGGTAATTAACAGCATCGAAAATCTCCAAGGTCCTTCCGACCACACAGTTCTCTTCTCTCTTATTTTCCACATGTTTCTTTAAATTTAATCGTAAATTTCTACGCAATTTCCCTGTTTTACTCTCGACACGTGACTCACTCACCATGTAATTGGTTATATCCAACAAAATTTCTACAAACAGCAGGAGAGTAAGCAGAACAGTTGTTAATGTTAATATCCATGCGCAGTACCCGATATTAGCCAGTCTTCTTGAGACGTTAAAATACAAAGCGCAGAATATTGTCGCGATACAAGCTTGTGCAGATATCAAGGATAACTTAATACACAACGTCATAGACTTATTATAGTTTGCACCCAATAGGAAACTTAACGCTTTCATAGAGATATCTCTATAAGTGTGCAGCAGCGTGCATTCTGTATGCATGTTCTGATATGTCGAGTGTATCAATCTCCCGATGGCTACGCCAATGAAGTACAATCCTACATAACCAGGTATAGAAATTAAGCCCTCTCGATTAGCAGAAAAGAAATCATTTCTCGGCTCACTATTCAAAACCCACGTCAGCAGATCTGTGGTATTCATAATATATTCATGCATCCCTAATATCCAAATACCTGAATATAATGAATACTCAGAGCTGATAGTGCTGGTTATCATACTAGTGAACAATTTTACCACAGCCAATGTTATGAAGAAGTTCCAATGAGTTCCATACTCAGTGACGTGTTTCTGATACACTAAATATTCGACAATAACTAAACGTCCGAGTCCTAATAGCAAAAGAGGCAGACAACTTCGGACACAATTTGTCATATTTTTCTTTAGAGTTTTTCGAAAACCTGCCTGTCGATGGCCAGAGACGTTTCGAGCCTCCGGTGCAACCAACGCGTTAGCTAACATAAACAACCCGACTCCCGTATCCATCAAACTGTATCCAAACGTTTCTGTTTTGGCAAACTTCCGAGGGAAGATTTGGAAGTCAACAGCCAATATACAAATGGCAGTTATTATGTTGGTTAACGCACGAAAATTCGTTATGAAAGGTCTCTTATCGGTAACCGGCACAGGTGAATCGAGGAAACTGGATCCCTTGTTTGCGAGCAGCAATATATTTACTGCAGAAACGAATACCATTACGAGGCATACGGTACCGACGTATTCTGACAACACGGTACAACACAAAATAGTCGGTATGACAGTTAGTACGAACTCTACGAGGACTCTGACGTTCTTGTTAGTGTAATTCCTAAAGACTCCCAAAATCGTCGTTGTCAACAGGACACTGCAAACGTTCGGCAGAAGCGTGTAAATAATTTCTTGCGGCGTCGTACCTCCATGATTGGAAACAAACGCTTCTTGCTCGCGTCGGTATTGTTCCTCGTTCACCGGCGACGCCATTGCCATTGTTATCGAAACATCGAACTTCTGACGTTCTACGGATATGTTTCCAACCTAACTATAATCTTGCCACAGTTGATATTAGTAGACATACCTGGTGCAACAAACTTACTCTCTCTCTCTCTCTCTCTGTTGTAAATAATCCTGTTAATTCGTTAATCCGTTCCCTCAAAACATGTATGACGAATACGTATTAAATATCTAGTGCATATCGCACGCTCATATCGCAATAGATGGCAGCACTTGACTCTTTTAATTAGATTTTCTATAACAAGAATAGATCATAGTATAAATCAACGATAAATTAACTGAATCTTTATTTTTAAATAGTATTACTTAACGACAGATTAAAGGAATTCTTTGTGGTCAGAGAGAATTCACATCACAAAAGTAGAAAACTGAAAGGCAGAAACCTATCAGAATTCGTAGTAGAAAAGCATAGAATGTCGACTACACTTGACCATCAGTGCGAGTTCTGATTGGCTTCTACTTTCCTATTTTGCCATCAAAATGAGTGCGTTCAGCAGAAAAAGCACTCAGTAAATAATCAGCGATTATTGGTTCTTACTGTTAGATCCCTAAATCTAGACCAATTATATTAACGAATTGCTCAACTGTTGAGTTCGCTGAACGCACTCAATGTGAATTTTCCTTTAGGTAGCAGGATCAAATAACAAGTCGTAAAAACTTTTTATATATCGATGAGAAATAAAAGTTTTTTTGATTTAACAACGGGAATTATATCATTAAACAATTTTTATTCGAACAAAGAACAGATTTAGATTTAAATAAAGTATGTATGCAGTATATATAGTATATACATATATATACAGGACGTGCAAGTCAAGTTTAATCATAAAATATTGTAATCCAGTTATAAAAACCATTAATTTTTTCTTCTTGATTTTGGGACTTTAGTTCCAAAAGAAAAACTCCTTTCATTTATGAGAATATAAAGAACTATTAAACTATTAAAGCTCGTTTTGGATACTATCGTGCTGAAAGCATCAGGCTGGTTTCCTATGCCGCGTAACTTGTACCGACCAATCACATCGTTCCATTTGAATATTAGCTATTCGTTCGGGCATTCGGAGTTCATGTATACCCCAGTAAACACAAAATAACAATAACATAACATCAATGTTATAATTTCCTACTCAACAATGTAACTGTTATATAATACGCGCACTATATAACAATTACATTGTTGAGTAGGAAATTGTAACATTGATGTTATGTTACTGTTACTTTGTGTTTACTCGGTACTATGTCCATGCTCAAAACACATCGGTTCGAATCTCGGCTTAATAATTTAGCGGGAAATCGAAACATTTCGATTTGAGTATTATTACATTATTAACTATTATTTGAGTATTATTACATCTTTATTCGGTTGTCATTTAGTTATTGTTATTGCGTATTGGAAAGCAACTTGAGCGTGCCATTACGACAATTTCTTTATCTCGTCTTGCTGTCGTGTGTAATCAGAGTTGTAAAAATATCAATTAAATTCGCCTCAATTTAATAATTGATTTGTGTAAATAATTTCTAATTTAATCAATTGACGATTAATATAAGCTTATTCAATTAAAAATATTTTTAGTTAATCACTGACTTTAAGAAATCTAATTAAAAATCTAAGTACTGAGTCGGAGTTAGCAGTTTAGGTTACATTCCAAAACATTCTTTTTGAAGAAAATTTTATTCAATACCTATATTTCACGTTACATATACTATAGAATATCGAGTAAAATTTCCTCAAAAAGGACGTTTTGGAACGTAACCTAGTAGTATATAGAAGTCTGTGGTACGAACCAGGCGCATTTTACCACCGCAAAAATGCGCCTAACGAACGTAGTAAAGGCGTACTTTGTTAGATGGCGCCTCGAAAATGCGCCTAGCTCTGGCCATTAAAATCAGACTGGTGGCCGCTCTCAGGCTATAGATCTCTCTGACTATAGATTGAAAGAAAAAGAGAGGGTTATAATCTCCATTTTTAATTATATATTCCATGATTTAACTTGTAATTTGTGAATTTAAAAAAAATTCTTATTAAATTTTTCCAAAATTTTACTTTTTAATATAGTGTGCGAATTATCGAGAATATTACTTTTTACTGAAAAAAAAATAATTAGTTTATTTAGTTAATCAAAAATTAAAAGAGAATAAATTGATACTTACGGGTATTAATGTATTAAATAAATAATATATCATTATGTCGTCTATATATTTTTTTTAGTCATGAAATAATATATATTATTTGTATTAGAAGTACTTGAATGAGAGTAAAAATATGCAATGTCTGGTGCGTAAGAAAGAATACAATAACCAAGAAAAAAAACCTAAGAGATCATTTCCTTTCGAAGAAAATTCTGTAATGAGCAATCAGATAAAAAAATTTAAAGTACATACCAATCAAGTGTCAAACACTATGGAAAGTTCATCTACATCTGAAGATTTCATGAAACATTCAAAGATGTTAAATAGAGAATGTGTTTCACTTGTTGAAAAAATGAGACCAACATCTATTACAACTTATGTTGGACAAAAACATGTAATTGGTCCAGGCACTGTTTTGAGACACTTACTGGAAAAGAAAGAAATTCCCAGTATGATATTTTGGGGCCCACATGGATGTGGAAAGGTAAAATTATAATTTTATTCTTCATCATTATACTTTTCTTGACTGGTAAAATTATTGAAACATTATGTGTAGAGTATCTACTATAAAGTTTGTCGATAGTGGAAGTATAATAGTCCATATTGCATAAGACATCCTGAAATTATTCTGGATATGCTCAGGATATTCTCTGGGACACTCTCCAGGACATCCTGGACATATTCAAAATAATTTTGCGACATTTGGTACTATTTGGCAGGATCTGTGTTAACAGAGTATGATAGTCGTATAGCAGCAGGAGTTGGACACGATTGGTGGTTCTATAACTGTTTAAACATATTTAAATAAACTCAGATAGAAGTATGTGATGATCACGTTTCATTATAATATGATGTCATACTGTGATTTCATCTTGATACCTTTTTAAAGATCATTATGTGATTAACATGACATGAGCACAAGATATACACAAATGATATATGAATATGTCAAGTTCATCAAGTTTTGTTATCATAATACTACTAGATATTTTTCTGATCATCATCACATGAACGACATGAGCAGCATATAGGCATGCATTTGTATACATTTTTGCAATCATTGCAAGCATGTCAATGTATGAGCGCGTGCTGAGCGCAACATGACATCATTTTTTTATCTAGGAAAGTTTAGTTAAATATATTCTGTCTGGATTAAGTCTTTAATTTTGTTTTTGGTTGTATCAGCCTTCCGTTATTAGAAGACAAGATTAACACAGTTGTTGTTAAATGTACTGCAATATTCTGAACAAATCTATTACCAAACTGCTTGCTATATATAATATACTATATAAATTGTATATTATTACAAATTTATGTTTTAGACATCCTTGACCAATGTAATAACATGTTTAAGCAAGGAAACAACAAATAACAGCATACACATTGTAAACTTATCTGCAGCCAACTCCGGTGTGAAAAATGTAAGGGACGCTGTTACTATTGCACAAAACAAATCCAAGTTTGGCTGTAAAACCGTTGTGTTCATGGATAAAATTCATCGTTTCAACAAGCTTCAACAAGATATATTCTTGCCACATGTAGAGGCAGGAACATTTACTTTAATTGGGTGTACTACTGAAAATCCATCTTATAGTTTGAATCCAGCTTTATTAAGCCGCTGCCGTGTGTTTATGTTAAATAAATTAACCGAATCTAACATAAAGGAAATTCTTCATAGGGCAATGGAATGCATAAATGGAATCGTACTTGATACAGAAGGAGAAAGACACACAGGCAGTAGAGAGCAGATTATGTTTGGCTCCACTTCAAAGGCTTCACCTAAGTTTCATGTTGACGATCAAACAATACAGTGGTTATCGGAAGCGTGCGATGGTGATGCATACGTAGCTTTGAATACATTAGAATTAGCAGTACTTGCAAAAAAATCAGATAAATTAAAGACATCATGGAGTAGCGATTTTGCCATAACTTTGAAAGACGTGAGAGAAAATTTGATACGAACGCATCTGCTCTCTGAAGAAGAAGCCAATCAGAGTCATCATATATATTCTGCGCTTCACAAATCAATAAGAGCTGGTAAAGTAAATGCTTCGCTGTATTGGATGGCGAGAATTATGGCAGCCAAAGAAGATCCTGTAAACATTGCAAGGCGACTAGTTAGGATATCTAGTGAAGATATTGGCTTAGCCGATCCAGACGCCTTGGGTAAGAAACAAAGTGCAGTTTTTATAAATATATGAGTATGAATAAATGTATTATTCTAAAATTTTAGGTGTAGCTGTTCACACAATGCATGGGTGTCAAATGATTGGTATGCCCGAGAGCGACGTACTTCTGGGGCAATGCACAGTTTATTTGGCAAAAGCACCAAAATCTCGATCAGTATACAATGCGTTAAAAGCAGCTGAAAAAGTTATCTTGGAACACAAAGGTCCTCAATCTTTTATACCATTACACATGAGACACGATTCAAGGGAAGCAAAGTTACAAAGCCTTGGTTTGTATTCTTTGACACTTTATTCGTCTGTTATATTCTTCAATTCCACCGAACCATTCCAATGAACCTTATTATTTTTCTCTTGTAGGTTGAATCACCTAATAAGGCAAGAAAGTTACTTAGAATAACTTATTTACTTCGACAATTAAAACATATTAAAAAAAAAAAAAGGTTTATAAAGAACTAATAAATGGAATGGAAAAGCCTAATAAATGGAATTTATTAAATACTTGTACGTGTATTATACTATAATTATTTTTATTATTACATTTCTAAATTAAAACATTTTTCAGTTTTAAAATACGTTTCAAAATATTGATGTGAATTATTTCACGCGCGCCTTTTGTCTTAAGCAATTGAGTTATTTTAACTTTTCTGGTACAAACATCGATTATTATATAGTTACTGAGTATTTGTTTAATTACTATTAATATTACATATGTCTCATAATTATTTTCAGAATGTTGTATGTTAACATCACGGAGTCGTCAAACTTAATATATTTGATATTGGCGCGCAACTGTCGATTGACCAATGACGTTAGACCGTGCACGCGAGGCGACGACTATTGGTTAACAGCACAGTTGATATACGTGCATGATGAAATAAGCGTATAGCTCGTGCTTCCAACCTCTTTCCTTTACATCACCCTCGAAAAGACGGCTCGACGCACGACGAACGCTCGGAATCGTGACAGTTTGTTCCGCGCACGTGTCGGACGATAAAATTATAGTGCCCGTTCTACATGCAGTGTCGTACATTCTATTTGTCCTTAGCAACATGAAAATCTGGACGTCAGAGCATACTTTCGAGTGAGTATAAAATGTAATTCCGTGTTCGCTATACTTTATGGTTTATTGCTTAATGTAATGAAAATTAATTTTCTTAAATATAAAGAACTTCAATTTAATTGGAAACGGGAAAGAGCAACTGTGTGACTTGTTACAATCATTATATATTTTGTGAATGAAATGACCTCTCTGATGGTATAACAGAGCACCCGTATAGGTTATCGCCGAAGTGCCTATCACACACATCCATACTTTTTTAAAGTAATCTCTAGAGTTGTATGGAACGTCATGATCTATATGGAAAGTTTCGAGTAAAAATGCTAAAACATTCTATTCCTTACTACCTAATTGAAAATAAATCCCATAAGAGGAAACATTTAAAGGAAAAAGATTTTTCATCAGCAATTTTGTGACAGTTCTTAGTAAGAGTGACTTTGTCAAAATCCTGTAGGACCGTAACGATGATGAAAAAAAATTGTTTTCTTGTTACAGTCATCCTTGGGAGACGGTAGCGCAAGCTGCTTGGAGGAAATATCCAAATCCTATGGTCCCGTCAGTTATCGGGGCCGATGTCATAGATAGAAAAGTAGTCGATGGGGTTCTTCACACTCACAGGCTTGTTGTCTCTAGTCACTGGGGTTTCCCTAAATGGACGCAAGCGGTAAGTTCCCACAATTTCTCACGATTACTGTCCGTTCGATATCGCACCTTGGCATACCTAACCTAATATAACCTCCTCGAATGAGCACACGAGGTCGTCAGTTGATCAGTCACGTGCCATTCATAGAGTACCACTCAGCATATATGAGGGAAAACGGGATACTCGAAACGCTGATGTCATTACATTAACAGCATTATGGATTTCACGTCGAACTAAACCAAATCGACGGATGTCTCGCGATGCCTTATCTCGAAGAAGCGCTACTCGTAACGTATGTCTCACGGATATATCTTGAGACGCGGCATCGTTTCGCAAATGTATATTATACAACAAAGGGCAGAATCCATTACGTTCCAAAGCATTATAACTACATAATGACGTAATTAACTCCGTGTATAAAAAACACTTCAAAGCCTATGAAACGTCAAACGCAAACTGCCCCCTACATCTTTTAAATGTCATTTTCCTCAAAGGATAAAATAGATGTAGGGACTAAAGAAAAATCTCGATTTTTCTGCACATATTGATGCAAGTATTGTGTAATCGTGTGTTTTTATAATTATAGATATCTTAGTATCTTTTTCATACTCAAATTTACACAGATATTATCTGAATACTACCTGGGTATAGATATTATCAGATATCTATACCCAGATATCACTACCAACTGTTTTGCTTTCGAAAAAATTCGATAAAGATTGATAGAATATCTAGGTATAGCTTCCGGAAGCTATAAAATCTAGATTGATAGAATATATATATATATATATATATATATATATATATATATATATATATATTTCATTGAAATTTTACATAGCTTTATCTAAACTTATCATTTCTATTGGAAATTTCAATGTCTTACACTGCAACTCATATAACAATCATGTTATCAACTTTTTTTATCTTATATCGTAATTTACTTTTAACTTAACTTTTAATTTACGCTTAACTTACACTAAACGATTAAATACTCATCAGAATACACTTGCCTTTCTATATCATTTTACATTGATATTAGTGTTGTTAGTATGATCAGATGCTTTCTATTATCTACATATTTTAATGTTTATTCCATACTTTGAATACTTTTGATGTTTATTCCATATTATTCCATAATTTGGATATGGATATTATCAGACACCACTAACTGTCTTACTTAAAAAAATCCGATAAAAAGATTGATGGAAATATGTAAATTTCATTGAAATACTATGTGACTTTATCTGAACTTACTTCTATCGGAAATTTCAATTTTTTACATTTCAGCTTATATAAAAAATTTTGAATTTTTTCATTCTATATTTCATATATAACTTGCTTTAACGATGAAATATTATACTAAATGATTAAATTACATAGGTGCTTCTTTATGGATGTCAATTGACTTTGCTTGAAAGTAGAATATGCCATGTATTGTATGGATGCTTTGTTATATAGAACAATATAATCGTTATCGTGATAATGAGATTAGTGTGACATTAATGTGATGAAATTTCTGGATTTTTTTTCTTTATTTCCCCTTCTCAATATCAATGTAGTTTTTCTTGTGTAGATACAAATGAGAGAGAATTCACATATTTAATTATATAAATATAGAAATTAATCGCAAGTTTAAATATTTCCTCAACTGTTGTGTAGTGTTATGAGTATTGTATTGTAAGTAAAACTCGAAAGTTACCATCTCTTGCAATTAGTCTCATCATTCAAGTACTTATTTATGGTCGAGAGTCAAAAATTGTGTTTCTATAGCACTGTTATTCGTGATGTTCAGCTGCTGGTAGGTGCAGATAATGACTGTGTTCAGCAGAGAAGCTGCTCTGCAACTATTTTAAAATTTGTGAATCTGATCAGTATGCTTTTAATCTCGGCTGAATCTAAAAGCATATATTAATCAGATTAACGAATTTTATAATAATTGCAAAACAGCGTTTTCTGCTGAACGAAGCCAAAACTTTCGTAATTTGGTTACGAGATTTCTATAACAATTCTATAACAATCTAGTTAAACCCATAAATATTGTTGAGTTATATTTTAAATTGTTTGAACCAAGTATTTACCGTTACTTGAAAGTTGTTTGAGGAAACCGCGGCATATAATTTTCTTGTATCTTATCAAAATATTGTTTTGCTACTTTAGATAATGCATAATTGAATTCCAATGGCTTTCCAACTCATAACAGCACGATAACAGGAAATAATTCTCTTGGCTGAAATTGATCCATTCTGTAGTAGTCATGTTAATCGGATTTAATCACACTAGTTAGTGACTAATGAGAAGGAATTACTGGCTGTATACGACATATAGCATGGTAAAGAATCTTCCTGTATACCGACTCCACTCGACTGTGGTCGAGAATTGTCCTATCCGTGGACCACCAAATGCTGTTTTAAAGAATGTTCCACCACATTCTCCGGTCACGTGTGTGTCGGCCTGGTGCAAGGTCGCCGTTCAAGGCAAAGTCGACTTTATTGGTCGAGGTGCGCGCACTGGGCTGACGGTAACCTTGCGGGAACCTTATCCACAGCTCGGATTATCGATTTTCACGGCGCACTCTCGCGGAACGTGAGTAAAGCCGCTTCATTCACGTACAGATTTATCGGAACGACCTTCTCAAGACCTTTACGCCTTCGTGTTGGCGGCCAGTGACGCTTGAATAAGTTATCAACTCGCGTCGATTACTCGGAGAGCTTTATTAATTTATTTCTTCTACCTCCTGCCGCTTAAAGTCGCGTAGTCGCACATTACTAACTCGACGTAAGAGAGATGTAACTTATAATAGACTATAACTATAAATACGTATAGTTGTGTTATACATTTCTCTTCGTCTTCTGTGCAAATATGACACGTCGTGCCTTTCAATATACAGACGTTACCCCCAATAACTTCCAGGCTTTTGACTTGAATTGCTCCAGGGAATAGCCTTCTTGCATCGAGACTCAAACTTTGAAATTGCGCTGCTGCTTCCATATGTGCCTCAAGTTGAATGTCTCTGTGAATACCGTACTTGGTATTTAGATGTCTAATCCTATTAGTGATATATGTTTCTGGGATGCTTTGACTTTGGGATTAATGGAATTGGATGGTGATATTATATTGGCCCCTTTTCCATCTCAGAAATTTCGTGATAGTGAGGAAGAGAAATCGCTTCAAATTCGCAGTAGTAAACGTTGTGAAATGATTAGCTATTTGCAGTTATGTAATCAGTATACTCTGCTTGACGTTTGACTTCTCGGCGAACTCTTGCGTGAACGAGAGCTATCCACGTCACATGCGGCGATATTTTAGGTCAGAATACAGAATGTTCTCTACGAGTTCTATTTTCTTTCATACTAAAACTATTTCGTATCGTATAACTTGGCTTCGAAAATATACGAATTCTTTAGTTTCTTATTTTCACGAAAAACTATACGCGAAGCACATCCCAGCTTTTTGGAAGTTTTCTTTTGCACAAAGTCAACAAAGCGATAGTCATAGAATAAACCGAGGTGAATCGGATCGCAGGGCAAATCGAATAAGTTTTGAGACAATTGTTATTAGTTCTTTGCTTCAAACGAACTATTTTATCTTGCTAGTTACTTCTGGCCTCTATCCTATTAGTCTTGTGTGCCAATTTATTAGGAAACACGACGTCATAGATATTTGCGGGTTTCTAGCAGTCTGAATCGTGCCTATTATTCACTGAGTAATTTCGTACCTTCCGCGTAACTTCGTTTTTATCGGCGCGACTTTTTCATGGTCGTTTGCTCAGTGAAATTGATGTTGCGCTGATATCCGGCGAGCGACAAGAAATCAATCCATGAACCGGTGTAACAGAATCATTCACCTCTTTCTGACGTAGCCCGTGGCGTATCGACAAAAACCCCGCGCCATCCACCCCTTCCCGCCGCTATTCCCCGCAGCTAGCAATCTCCGCCAGCGTGCCGCGGCATCGCGGAGACCCGGAAATTCGAAACTTTCGACAAACGTGCGCAAAAAGAAGGTGCCGGGACCCGGGAATTGCAAAACAACATCCGTACTGGCATCAACTTTCATAATGAGCGCGCTCAATGTTACGCCGTTTGGCAATCGTCCAGCCAGACACCCGCTTTCTGGAATACCCAGCAGCCTGCGCTTCCGGGCTCTCATCCTTCGCCATCCCATGGTGCCTGCGACGGCATACTGGAGATTCCGGGGCGTCGAATCTCTCTCGGCCCTCGACGGGTCGCTTCCTCTCGTCGGATTTTCTATAAGCTCGGCCATTTCGCCGGGCCGTTTCGTTGTGCAGCCGCTCGCTCGAACGGCTCGACTCACAGCATCATACATAGGGTGTTCGAAGAGCGATAGCATAGCCGACATGAAGTGATGGTCCTAGAACGATCGACGATAAAGACGCGTGTAAGAAATTACCAGGTTCTCGAACAAAGCCTCAAGTTCCTTCGCTCGAACTAACGAGACAATCGATGAGGCTAATGACAATGTATTATCTTCGCACATGTTATCTCTTTTTATTATTATTTTTATCTATAAATTAGGAATATAAATTAGGAATAAATTTATTTTAAATGACATACACACACACATAAAGTATAAAAGTTTCGACCAAATGCTGACTCTATTCAGTGATGACAATATTTGAATCTATTATAAAATATTTCATATATTATAGAAATAACTACCTAAAATTGCGAAATAATTACTTAAAACTTTGTGAAGACTGAAGCTATTTCTTAAGAATGTTGAATCTTCCTTTTAATTAATAAAATATTTTAGGAAATTGAAATTTCCATCTTTGTTTCACGAAGACTCGCGTCTAGCGGAAGATTAAATAATAAAATTGCAGAAATATTGATTGGAAGCGATAATAGATGATAAAGAATGAAGGTTATCGATTTTCCGATTTATTTCAAACGTAAATGCATGCAAATTGAAACACAACGGAGGTTTTAAGACACCGAGGTGCAGTTTGACATTTTAAAAAGGTTAACAGCGGTGCGAATACATGCCGAGCAGATGGGTCCGAGTTTCGGGGAGAACAGTCGTATTTCCCGAGCGCTCTGTATAAACGTTGCTGTAGAAAGCTAAAAGTTGCAGTATTTAGGTACGCTCGAAATTACTTAACAGGTGGAAAAGTGCGAAGGATCGTTTCGGTCGCGACGCTCTCTTTCGCTGGCGGTGCCGTTTTAGCGCGCCTCGATGCCTGCACCTGCCAGCGTGCTGTTCCGAGTAATTAGCGGATGCACTCGACAACGAAACGCGCTCTGGAAAAAAGTATGCGAGAAAAGTTCGTTTCTCGCGCCCATTCGTCCGAAATGCTCGAATTGGTAACCTGCCGTCGTATAAGCGGCCTGGTTTATACGAGCGACTAATTAGAATATGCATAATTAATCGCGGGGAACAATAATTAAAGTGTGCTTAGCATGCCAGCCCAATTAGCGTCTTTCTAATTACCTAATTACTCATGCTAATTTGTTATTAATATCGCGCCGTTGCAGAAACTTATGGAGAACCCTCAAGCCGTTCTATTTCTTCTCAACCGAAATGGGCGGCTCAGCCTGTCGCGATGTTTACGCCCGCGAATTATTTATCGCCGGTGATTAGCTCCAACGTTCATTTCCACGTTATGCCGATCTTTATTTTGCCCTGGTCAAATCGCCCCCTGCCTATCGTTTAATTGCGTGTTCATTCTTAGCTTCCGGCGTAACGTAAAATTAGTTGGTCCGTCGGTCGATCGATAGATTGATCGATCGCCGTGCGCCATTTGTTATCGAGATAATTCTCTTCTTAAATTGATCGCATTTTGCAATCTCTGTTATTTTTCGGTTCAGAGTCTTTCCTTGCGGAAAAAGTGCGAGCTACGCTATAATTTACGATTTGATGTGAGTTAGCAGTTTTACAGAACATTCGAAACTTACGTGTGTACATTTTACACAATAATGATTGAATAAATGGTCATAATCATAAATCGCGCTACGTGCACTCGTGCACTTATCACGATAATCGCTATAGGATAATGCATAACCGTCGTTATAGGCGATCAACAAAATTAATTACCGTCCGCCTTCTAATACACACCAATGGCCGCTTATCGCTCTTTCTCTCTTTCTTTCGCCCTCACCTTCTCTCCTTCTCTCTACAGAGTGTTCAGTGCTATTCACGTAATATCACTTGTTTGTTTATTCCACTTTGTGTACATATTAACATGCTGATATGTGGGTGCACGGCTTATTTCCATAAAGGTCCGTTGTTACCTTCCTGGTATTGAACGCAAATGCGACTGCAATTTCTGCAAATGATATCTTATTAACGGATCAATAATTGCTAGCAAAACAACCACACCCACACACGCGCGCGCGCGTAGGTTTAATTATAATTTATTATAATGTAGGATGTTTGCATATGATGGATTATTGAGCTATGTAAAATGACATTCCAGAATTGAACAGGACTGTGCATAATCACGCGTGTCACGTATCAGTTTCAAACTAATTTTACCGCTTCTATGATATCACACATTGATAAATGATTTGCGAATTACCATACAATTATGCAATGCATACACATATGTGTGGTGTACGCATATTGCATTTTCTTCCTCGTTCCGCCGAACGCGCTTTAAAAAATCGTGAAATTCGAGCCCAAGTATCTCTCGAAGACTGAAACATGCCATTCAAGTTTGGAAGGCTTTATCGTCGAATTCAATGCGGAAAGTTTCAAACCGGAAGTACTTGTCTATAGCACTTCCGAGATTTTTATCGGTGGCCGAATCGGTTTTTAGCAGTTTGCCAGCCAGTTCTCGTTGAAACTACATTTAAACGGTGCGGACTTTCTTTTCTTTTTTTTTTCTTTTTTTTTTACGAGAGAGCGAGACTTTTACGTCGATGCCAGAGCTTATTATGCGAGCGCACGTTTCCTCTTTCTTTTTACAGTTAATCGGCTACGCGAACTTGTGTTATGCTAGCGAACGCAGCGAGGTCGACCCAGTGAACAGAGAAATGGTTCTCAGGACGCGCAACGTAAGTATCTCTTTATCTTCGCTCTTTTAAAAAACTGCTCGAGAGAAACCGTCATGCTCTCCCATGATTCTCTAACGAGACACGTCCCGCAATTAACGATGAATCTTTTTGCATTATTATGGAATACTTGACTTTATTCGGAATAATGCTACCGATGATACTTCATGGCGCTCGATTTTTGATCGACCTCGAGTTTGGCAAAAGTCGACCTCGATCGTATAGAGAACTCCAATAATGCTTTCCACTTCCGGTTAGGGTATTTTGGCTTGGCATCGTATCTACATATTTTTGCATCATGATTGTTGCTGTTGTGAGAACAATTGGCAACTCAGCTGCTTTAAATGCAACAGTAATAGCGTTCTCTAAAGTGCAATCAGTGTTTATTACATTTTTATTATATGCTGATGAGTTAAAAGTTTTTCGACGGCGATTGATGGCCTTGCTGACGCACTTTTATAAAAAAAATAACTTACTGGAGTCCGGTGCGCAAGAAATCATCTACAACTTAATCTTTTCAAATGTTATTTATTTTTCATATAGATTTTATCTATTTTTATTGAATTTATTATAATAATTCATCTCTCTCTTATTATAATTTATTATAATAATTCTCTTTATTATAATAATTCATCTCTCTCAGCAATTTGTGAAGTACGTGAAGACTTTAGCGTTTTATTTAGTAACAATTTATGATTCAATGTGTATGGCAGCTCATTGGATGGAAATTTCAATGGTAATTACTTATAACTAACATTATATTATGCAAGTTAAATATGCTTCAAAAGAGAGAGCTGACTTATGATTTAATATTTATTTTTAAACTTATCAATCCCTTTATACATGATGTTCCAGATTCGTCTTCGCAAAATATGGGATTTTTACCTCAATCCATCCTACGTTTCCACGAACATTGCGGAGACGAATCTGGAAATGTATAAAGTTCGCACCCCACTTTTTGAAATTTATAATTTTGAAAGTTGTTCCAGATTGTTCTGACTTTGTATCACATTGTTCCAAAGTGATATTGCTTCATTCGAAACGGTTTTCGAATAAAACGAAAAAAAAATGATTTTTTGAGCTGGCACCCCACTTTTCGAAAATCGAACATTCTAATACCGCAATAGATTGTTCTAGTTCCAAACATTGTTCCAAAAGGACAAATCCGTAAGTTGAATTATAAGTCCAAAAAATGAAAAAAATGTTTTTGACCTGGCACCCCATTTTTTGAAAATAAAGCATTCCGATACCGATATAGATTGTTCTAGTTGTTCCAAACATTGTTCCAAAAGGACAAATCCGTAAGTTGAATTATAAGTCCAAAAAATGAAAAAAATGTTTTTGACCTGGCACCCCATTTTTTGAAAATAAAGCATTCCGATACCGATATAGATTGTTCTAGTTGTTCCAAACATTGTTCCAAAAGCACAAATCAATAAGTTTAATTATAAGCCCGAAAAATTAAAAACAAGTTTTTTGACAAACAGTCTATCGGACCAAGAGTAAACTTATACTATCTTTCTTGTTCCAACCGAGATCTTTTTGTTCTGAGTTGTTCTAGGCTTAAGAATTATAGTTCTAGAGTATGAGACTCATAAGATCATTCGTTCTCCGAAAATTCGTAAAAAAATCGACTTGACAGTACTCTACGTCGAAAGTAAACACATACTTCCTTTCTTGTTTCAACCGAGATCTTTTTGTTCTGAGTTGTGCTAGGCTTAAGAATTATAGTTTTAGAGTATGAGACTCGTAGCGTCATCCGTTCTCCGAAAATTCGAAAAAAAATCGATTTGACAGCACCCGACGTCAAGAGAAAACACATGCTTCCTTTCTTGTTCCAACTGAGATCTTTTTGTTCTGAGTTATACTAGGCTTAAACGACGAAGCAATTTCACTTTATTTTGTCATGACATTTTGTAATTATTTCCGCCAATTTTCCTATAATAAAGATTAATTTTTGTAAGAAATCATCTTTTTCTTGAATTTTTGTCACCTCAGAAATATATTTCAATCATCCTTATTTTCAATCATCCAAATAATTATACTTTTTTAAATCAGTATATAGAACTTTTTTTTTTAAGAAAATAGTTTCATCTAAAAAAACCTGAAAATATTTTTGTTAATTTTAATATGTTGTTAAGTTATGAATTTTTTTTACGAAATTACATTTTTTGTCGATTTCGGCAAATTTAAATTGTTATTGCAAAAAATTGTTAATAAATGACTAAAGTAACTATTGGAACATAAAATATAATCTCTCTAGAGTATCCCAGAATTTTTTCAGATTTTTTAGATGAGTTTAACAAAAAAATGTTACAGGACTTAAAGGGGTCACCGTGCAAATGGCGTTAGTAAAAAACATAATGCAAACGGAGGGTTAAAAATATTTTATGTTTCTACATAAATACATATATTTACATTGCCTTTAGCTTGAACGGAAAGTTTTTTTGGCTTACGCAACAAGTCGTCATATTCAACCAACAAAAAGTTCTATATACTGATTTAAAAAAGTATAATTATTTGGATGATTGAAAATAAGGATGATTGAAATATATTTCTGAGGTGACAAAAATTCAAGAAAAAGATGATTTCTTACAAAAATTAATCTTTATTATAGGAAAATTGGCGGAAATAATTACAAAATGTCATGACAAAATAAAGTGAAATTGCTTCGTCGTTTAAGCCTAGTATAACTCAGAACAAAAAGATCTCAGTTGGAACTGAGGTTAGAAAGGAAGCATGTGTTTTCTCTTGACGTCGGGTGCTGTCAAATCGATTTTTTTTCGAATTTTCGGAGAACGGATGACGCTACGAGTCTCATACTCTAAAACTATAATTCTTAAGCCTAGCACAACTCAGAACAAAAAGATCTCGGTTGGAACAAGAAAGGAAGCATGTGTTTACTCTTGACGTCGAGTACTGTCAAATCGATTTTTTTACGAATTTTCGGAGAACGAATGATCTTATGAGTCTCATACTCTAGAACTATAATTCTTAAGCCTAGAACATCTCAGAACAAAAAGATCTCGGTTGGAACAAGAAAGATAGTATAAGTTTACTCTTGGTCCGATAGACTGTTTGTCAAAAAACTTTTTTTTAATTTTTCGGGCTTATAATTAAACTTATTGATTTGTGCTTTTGGAACAATGTTTGGAACAACTAGAACAATCTATATCGGTATCGGAATGCTTTATTTTCAAAAAATGGGGTGCCAGGTCAAAAACATTTTTTTCATTTTTTGGACTTATAATTCAACTTACGGATTTGTCCTTTTGGAACAATGTTTGGAACAACTAGAACAATCTATTGCGGTATCAGAATGTTCGATTTTCGAAAAGTGAGGTGCCCGCTCAAAAAATCATTTTTTTTGTTTTATTCGAAAACCGTTTCGAATGAAGCAATATCACTTTGGAACAATGTGGTACAAAGCCAGAACAATCTGGAACAACTTTCAAAATTATAAATTTCAAAAAGTGGGGTGCCAACTTCATACACTCCGAATCTGGGACACCATGTATATTGAGACTGTTTAAAACCATTTGAATTTATTAAATTTAATATTCCTCTCTATACTATATAATTAAGACAGTATTTAATTTTTCACATTGAGCACCATCGTAATTTGTACAATTTTAATTCATGCGTTCCTAGATTGTTTACTGCGGCGAACATATATGCAAATTGCATTGAATTTTTTAATGTAACATCGTCTGCTATTTAACGCTCTTTTCCGCGCTTTTTCCTCCTTTTTATTAATTTTTTTTTATTTATGTTATGTTATACAAATTTTCATAATTTTTCATACTGATTTCTTATTTTTTCTGTCTGCTTCGTTTACATGTTCTTTTCTATATATACTAAAGGGTTTTTCAACGAATAAAAATTGTTAATATTATTAATTCCATTGCCAGAAACGCAGAACGTCGTATTCGGTATAGCGTATGACGAAATTGTGTATTACAGACCTTTGCAAGAATATTTTATTTCCACTGGTCAAAATTAATAAAACATAAGACGAAGCAGTAAAGTTTCTATTGAAAATGAGTGAATACGCACTGACTATCGTCAATAAGAAACATTTTTGCTGATTCACTTTAAAAGAGTGCAAAGAGGGTGTCTGTTGATGAATGGGAAAACGCTAGGTTACATATAGATTATGTCAAACTGAACGAAAAAGTCTACCATTTTGCAAATAACCACGTACAGATATTTTAATTATTAATTGAAAAAGTTTGGTCTGAATTAGATGGAAGACATTTTGTCGACTCCAGTTTACAGTGGCGTACATGACATAAAAGGATAAACAAAACATTGAACTAAGAAAAACATCATTGAATAGTTTTTATCTCAAGATAGTAGTGTAGTTTGCCAAGAGGGAATTCTTTTATCACAATAAGAGCCGCTGATGTGTCTCTCGCAGAATACGCATCACGTAACGCGAGAGCGCTCCACGTTGGTTGCAAAAACGGTGTCTATACCTGTAATCCAATATCTCCGATCGCGTTTCCGGGATGCGCAGAATCTCACCCCCAATACGAGAATCCGAAATATCTGTCAGCCGTGCGCGCGCGCGCGCGCGCTTCACTCAATTAAAATCATATGAATCTAGCTCCGTATCCTATTGAACATCATGATAGAGATAGATTTCCTCGCCTGCAGAACAAGATCTTCGATTCGTAACCGATTCGTGTCGTACTCGATATAAATACATTGCAGTCGGTTAAAGCGCGATCTCAAATTAGATGTATGCCGAGCAGCATCGTCGGATGTTGCATGCTGAGACAATTCTTTGGCAACATCGGCGTCCGGTTTTGCAACTTAGCGTTAGACCCCGATAACGGTACGCGGAAATATGCGCGGAAGAGTACGAAGAATAGACGAGTTGCAAATTTTCGGCTCTCAACGTCAACGCTCTCTTGCGTATCACTGCAGATATATTTCAGCTCACCGCTTCCAGCTTCAGCACCGAAACCGACGAGCGTAAGTGATAAAATTGGCAATTT